CTCCGGTCCTGAGAGCTGCTGGCAGCCGTGTCCACAGAGTTATGGGCAAGGCTGGCCTCGGGGCAAGGTCGTGACGGGCCACGGGGGTCGTCAGCCGGCTTTGTACATCCTGCAGAGGGTCCCTGGGGAAAAGAGCCCACGGGAGCTGAAGAGACGCTGGGAAAGATTGAGAGCAGGAGAAGAAGGGGACGACAGAGGATGAGATGGTTGGATGGCATCACCGACTCAATGGACATGAGTTTGGGTGGATTCCAGGAGTTGGTGATGGACAGGGAGGCCTGGTGTGCTGCAGTTCATGGGGTCACAAAGAGTCGGACATGACTGAGCGACTGAACTGAACTGAACTACTTTATCATACTGAATTATTTCTGTTCTTGATTTATAGTATTTTGAATTTTGTTCAAAGTAATTTCAGTCATTATGCAAAGTGGAATTTTCAAAGGCGTGATTAATTTAGGAAGAATTTAGGAACATAAGGAAGATGATGAGACAGGTTCTGCACACACGTTCGCAAGCACAGAGCTGGTTGTCCGGCCTGCTTGCTGCCGTCCCTGTGTGCTGGCTGCAGTTCTGGGCCTGTAGTTACGTCCCCAAGTGTGCCGGGCACAGGGCTCTGCCTCAGCCCACCTCACCACCGCTCCACACCCGCAGGCAGCCCTTCAGGCGCCTGTGTTCAGAGGCTGCACCCTGGCTTGGGGGGCAGAGGTTCTGCGTCCATGGGCTGTGAGGAGGGGGGAGGCTTGCACATCAAGATGCATGTTCTCCAGCGTTAATTCACAAGTACTCTTGCACCCCTGCTCCATGCAGCACTGGCTCGCTGGGGGTGGGGTGGGGCGGGGTGGGAAGGATAAGCAAACCCGGGAGTCCGTGCTCTCTGGAAGCTTCCTGTCCGTCAGGAAATGCAGGGCCTGAGGTCAGAGCAGAGAGAGACCTGTATGAGGTGGTTCTCCTCCCTTCCCCTCAGCGGGACCCTGGGCGGTGCCCCACCATCCGGGGTCAGCCCCCTGCTCCCTGACGGGCTGGAGCTCGGAGGACTCAGGCCTGGACTCAGGACAAGGGTGACGGGGGTGGGGCAAGTTGGCCTTTGGGACGGCACGAAGGGGAAACATCTTTTTTTCTGAATTTGGCGAAATTGAGTGGTGCCGGAATTTTCCAGTAATAGTGGCTTTTTAATAAACACACTGACGCAGGGAGAAGGGAGCCTGCATTTAACCTGGGTCTTTGTTAATATTTAATGTGTGTCCTTGGAGATGCTGCTGCATGGTGGGAAAAGTAGAAAGAAAATATCTCTTTGGCTTCCGTGAAAAAATACCACCCACGCCACAGAGGCAGGCTTGAAGTGTGATGTGTGAATGACAGTTTGGAGATGTTTTTCAAATTCTGAGGAGTATACACATTTTTTCCTCTCATTTTGGCTAGTGAATATTCATAACTCTTGATGTGAGTAAACAGATACCACCCTTTGCTTCCAGAGCCCGAGGGCTTCAAGTTCATCAGAGCAGAGACACTGCGGTTGGCCGCTCCCCCTGGACGCTGTCTGGGTATAACGGGATGGGACTGGCCAGGGCTGGGGCCCTGGGTGGCCGTGGGCCGTGACTCGTGGGTCAGCTGTTCTGTGGGTCATTTTGGAATAGCGAGTGTATTCTTTCTTTAACAAACGCACAGTGTATTACAAAAACGATTTGTAACTCTGAGTTGTTTTTCTCCGCTGTCACAGCTTTGACAGCCAATCAAGTCGGGTGCCGCTGGAGTTCCCCGGCACAGCTGAAGGAGGTGTCGGAGGGGGGTTGTTGCTGTGGGTCACGGACAGGGGTCCAGAGTCGCCGAGCTGTGCTGTGTGGTCACGGCAGCCGACCTAGTGGAGGCGCTGGTGCAGAGCTTCTCAGCAGGGACGCAGGGAGAGTCCGCGGTCGGGGTGGGGGGGNGGGGGGGGGGGGGGGGGGCTGGCTTCTGCGCCGGGGAGCAGCAGCAGGACACGGGGGTGCCCCCGGGAGAGCCAGTGCTGGCGGAGTCTGGGGAGAAGCGGGGAGGGGGGTGAAGGGGAGGAGAAGGCCCAGACCGCTCCTCCTCCAAGCGCAGCGCTGACGCGACATCACACTTGCAGTTTCTCACTCTCCTGATAAGCTCAACTGCATGAACGTTTAACCTCACTGGAAGAGATTTCTTTTCTTAGCCAGAAACTGAACTGTTTCAGAACAGTATGGTACTGTCTTCCTAGATTTCTCTTTGAAAATCAGGCTTTCTCTCCAAGCATGAGGAAATCCTGGAAGGGGTAGACGTTTCCAAAAAGCACGGTCACAGTCCATCCTCCCCTTGTCTGGACTTGCCTTCTCCCTGGGAACTCAGGCACCAAACATGCCGCCTTCTCTGGGTGTAGGTTTTACTGCCGATCTTTAAAAGCTGACGTGTGACCTCACAGAGCAGCGCGTACTCTGCCATTTCTAGTTCTGACCATGACCTTGACTGTGCGATTGAATACTGAGAATCCTGAGCAGATGCTGTGACCATAGAACCGTGAGGCAGGTTCCACCTGCGGACGGCGGAGGGGGGAGGACTTGCAGGGGACTGTGAATGCCGCACGAGTGGAACGTTGAGAAGGTAAAACCTCAGAGTTGATCAGGAGACTTCTCCATCCATTATCCAAGCACGCATGCACACGATTTGTATGACGGACTCTAATTAGCATGACTTTTATAACAATAAGCCAAAACATGGATTTTCTTGTCGTACTTTGTTGGTGTGTTGGCATCTGTCGTCTGCATTGATGCCAACATTTTCACTGCTTCTGCTCGGGTAGTTTTAACTGCTTCCTTGGCAGATGACCTCATCAAGCAGCAGTGTTTGCGTAGGACCTGTGGGTTTACTGGAATCATATTCATTACCCCATGTGCTGCTCCCAGGATTTCCGTTTCTAGTGCAGTTGGCATCTGAAGCCCATCATGTGGACGGGACTCCCAGAGCTTAGGTATCTGCTTGTCCCATGGAGCTGAAGCATGGACATGCTGGAATTCAGAACTCGCCCCTTTTCCTCGGAGAGCCGGCTGTCTACACCCGGTGCCCAGGTGTTTGCTGGAGCCCTTTTTCAAACTAGGAACAGTCCCTGTGTTGAGTGTTTTCTAGCATGAGAGGTTTTGGGTTTTGCCAAGTGCTTTTCCTTCACCCATTGAGATGATTGTGTGATTTTTAAAAATTCTGTTACTATGATGTATGACATTAAGTTCCAAGTGTCAACCAACCTTGAATTCCTGGGGTAAATCCCATTGATTATGGTATATAATTCTTAATAGATGTTCCTAGATTGAGTTTACTAGTATTTCGTGGAGACTTTTTTCATCTGTATTCAAAACAGATATTGGTCTGTAGTTTTCTTGTGATGACTTGTGGTTTTGGTATCAAGGTAACTAAGTTGGAAAATGTTCTGTTCTCTTTGGGGGAGAGTGTGAATAATTGTTATTAATTCTTCTCTGAATGTTTTGTAGACCTCAGTGGTGAAGCCATCTGGGCCTCAGCTTTTCTATTTGGTTAGTTTGGGGTTAAAAATTGAGTCTCTACACTTGTATTATTATCTTTTCAGATTTCTTCCTAAATCAGCTTAAGTAGTTGTGTCTTTCAAGGATTTGCCCATTTCATCTAATTTATCTCATTTAGTGACAAATAGTTGTTCATATAATTTCTTTATAATCCATTTACTGATGGTAATTGTTCCACTTTCGCTTTGTATTTTAGTATTTTGAGTCTTCTTTCTTTTTTCCTTGGTCCATATAGCTAAAAGTTTATCAGTTTTGCTATTCTTCTTAAAGAACCAGATTTCGGTCACACTGATTTTCTCTGCTCTGCTTCATTAATTCCAGCTCCAGTCTTCATTAGTTTCTTCCTCCTGCTTTCACTGTGTTTAGTTTGCTCTTCATCTGTATGTATCAGTTCAGCTCAGTTCAGTCGCTCAGTCGTGTCCGACTCTTTGCAACCCCATGAACTGCAGCACTCCAGGCCTCCCTGTCCATCACCAACTCCCAGAGTTTACTCAAACTCACGTCCATTGAGTCAGTGGTGCCATCCAGCCATCTCATCCTCTGTCGTCCCATTCTCCTCCTGCCCCCAATCCCTCCCAACATCAGGGTCTTTTCCAATGAGTCAACTCTTCGCATGAGGTATACACATGTATATTTAAAATTACTAAAGAAATGTAAATACTTAATTAGAAGATATTCCCTAATGTAAAAAAAGCAGGAACAGAGGAACAAAAACGACATGAGACACACAGAAAATGAAAAGCAAAGTGGCAGACAAGTCTACTATACCAATAATAAAATTATATTTGAATGATTAAATAACCCAATTAAAAGGTAAATTTTTCAGACTAAATAGAAAAAACAAGATCTGTCTTCAAGAGACACATTTTAGAGACAAATAGATAAAGAAAAGATGAGAAAGATATCATAAACAGTAAACACAAGAAAGAGGGAGTGATTATAGTGGTGCCATATGAAATAGAATTTTAAACTAAAATTGTTATTAGAAATAAAGAGGGGTATTTTTTAAAGATAAATGTTTAAATCATCAGGAAGATATAACAATTGTAACTATATGTGCACCTAAACAGAACAGCAAAATACATGAAGCTAGAACCAACATACTGAAGGAGAAATAGACAATTCAACAATAACAGTCGGATGCATCAGTACCCCAGTTTTAACAGTGGGTGGAAAGGCCAGGTAGAACCTCAAAAGCACACTGGGCTCCAACAGAACTATAAGCCAAATCGACCCAGGGACGTTTGGAGAGCCTGCATCGTCAGGAGGAAATGGGGAGTCTAGGGTTTTGAACTTCATTTCAGTGTATCTGCCTCGGATGCTGAGCCCACGGCTGAGCTGTGCCCCCGTGGTGGCAGCCTGGCGTCGCTGAGCAGGGCTGATGGGGCTGGTGGCAGCACTACCCCCTCCCAAGCCTGAGGCGCTGGGCCCCAGCGCTTCCTCCCAGCGTCTCTTCTCTTCCCCGTTCAGGTCCGGCGCGATCCAGGTGCAGGCCCTGGATGGGCTGAGCTCGGGGCCCCTGCAGTTTCACACGGCCCAGGAGCGTGCCGACTGGCTGAGGGCGGTGTCGGCCAACATCAGCGATCTGATGCTGCAAAACGTGAGTGTGGAGATGGTCCCCTGTCCCCGTGTTTGCTTTTCAGTCCATGGAAATAGTCACGACTCTTTGTTATTTCAGATTAGCCCTAAGACAGTTGGTCATAACGCTAAACAGAAGAACATACTTTTAGAGAAAGCTTTTATTTGGAGGATAATTGCTTTACAGTATCGTGATGGTTTTTGCCGTACATCAGCATGAATCAGCCGCAAGCGTCCATGTGTCTCCTCCCTCTTGAACTTCCCTCCCACCTCTCACCCCACCCCACCCCCTAGGTTGTCACAGAGCATCAATCACAGTAGCTAGGACGTGGAAGCAACCTAGATGTCCATAAATAAATAAATGTGCACTAAAAGCACATGGGGTGGGAGCAGCACGTGAATCAAGTCCGAAGTCCCCTGGAGCGCCCCATATCCGGGCAGTAACAGCGTGGCCACGGCTGCGGGGGCTCACGGAAGACCAGCCCTTGGCCGAAGGTGGCCATGGGCCGGTCTCGTGGTCCTCAGTCCCCACTGGGTGATTTGCCCGACTGCCCACATTCGCACCCTCTGGTCCAGGCCAGCTGGGGGCAGGCGGGGCCTGGATGCTCCGACACCCGCGGTGTGAGGGGAGGGCCCCACGGCCTCCCCTGCGGCTGTTTCTCTCGCTCCTGACTTGTTTCCGGAAGCTGCCCCACGGTGGGTGTTTGCACTTTGAAATGCGGGAAGCAGAAACGCGTGGGATTTCCCTTCCAAAGACCTCAGGGCTCTCTGCTACCCAGGAGGTGCCACGTGTGTGCTGAGTTGCTTCAGCTGTGTCTGACTTTGCGATGCTATGGGCCGTAGCCCGCCAGGCTCCTCTGTCCGTGGGATTCTCCAGGCAAGAATACTGGAGTGGGTTGCCATTCCCTCTTCCAGGGGAACTTCCCAACCCAGGGATCGAATCCAGGTCTCCTGCATTGCAGGCAGACCCTTTACCATCTGAGCCACCAGGGAAGCCCATCCACCTCGTTAGAACTGACTCAAATGCATTCCTTTTAGTGGCTGAGTAATATTTCATTGTATATTGGTACCACCACTTCTTTTTCTTTTTAGTTATTTATTTTAATTGGAGGCTAATTACTTTATAATATTGTAGTGGTTTTTGCCATACATTGACATGAATCAGCCATGGGTGTACATGTGTTTCCCATCCTGACCCTCCCTCCCACCTCCTTCCCCATCCCATCCCTCAGGGCCATCCCAGTGCACCAGCCCTGAGCACACTGCCTCATGCATAGAACCTGGAATGGTGATCTGTTTCACATATGGTAATATACATGTTTTGTAGCTATTCTCTCAAATCATCCCACCCTTGCCTTCCCCCACAGAGTCCAAAAGTCTGTTCTTTACATCTGTGTCTCTTTTGCTGTCTCANCCCCAGTTTTTCAGATGTTGAAATGCACGCTTCTGCAGCCTCATAGCTTCTCTTACATGAAGTGCCCATAATTGAGAACAGTGGTGTCGGCGTGCTCCGTGATGAGAATCGCTACCACACGTTCTTCTGTGCTCTGGTTTGGTTTTCAGGAAAGAAAAGCATTATAAAAGAAACTTACTTCTGGGGACACTTCATGCAGCTAATTAATTTCAGTTGCCAATTAGACAGGTTGAATAATTATGCCATTAATAAAATTATACGGACTCCTTGCTTCCCTCTCTCTACAGGTGAAAATGGCAAATAAATGCTGTTCTCCTTGTGACCAGGTAGGATTTGTGGTTTTCACGTTGATCATACAATGTCTCCAAAGGTTGCCTCTTTCTGTTTCTGAAATCTGATTTGGAAATTTTGACAGAAAAGCGTTAGCACACGTGTGATGAAGTCGCGGTCCTCACCTTCAGGGTTAACTCCGTACAACTGCTTGTTTATCCTGGAGATTATGTAGCAGGAATCGTCCCACCTGAGGGTGGTCAGGTTACCCGTGATCTAGGGGCACGTACATTTTATGAAGGAATCGTGATCCAGTGATAACCCAGATGTGATTGTGGAGGCTTCCAGAGGTTTGATGACTGAGACCAACCTGTATAATTCGGAATCGTCAGCACCGTGTAATTTTCCTGGCTGACCTCTTCATTGGCACGCTTCGCTCTGGGAGGCCTTTGTCGGGGAGGTGCTGCTGCAGGTGGGGTGGGAGGAGAGGTCGTCCTGCGCGGCACGCAGGCCTCTGTGCACCCGGAGGAGCCTGGTCCCGGCTGGCTGCAGCCCCGCCTGCTCAGGAGCCCTCTGCCCGTTCCCTCCAAGAGCCAAGTGAGGTGAAGTGCAAGTCGCTCAGTCGTGTCCGACTCTTTGCAACCCCTTGGATGTACAGTCCATGGAATTCTCCAGGCCAGAATACTGAAGTGGGAAAGCCTTTCCCTTCTCCAGGGGATCTTCCCAACCCAGGGATCGAACCCAGGTTTCCCGCATTGCGGGCAGACTACCAGCTGAGCCACAGGGGAAGCCCAAGAATCCTGGAGTGGGTAGACTATCCCTCCGCCAGCAGGTTTTTTCCCTACCCAGGAATCGAACCGGGGTCTCCTGCACTGCAGGCAGATTCTTTACCAGCTGAGCCACAGGGGAAGCCCTCCAAGGGGAAAGTCCAGCTTATAATATACCCAGTTTTCTGAGTAAAGGACAGCTCACTTACTAGGCCTGTAAGTACTTAGCTGTATATCAGATAAATAAACTTCGAAGCCACTACATTCTTTTTCTCTTTCCTTTTTGATAAAGTCATAGTTTACGCTGTAAGTGGGAACTTTTTAAATGGATGGTGCAGGAGCTTTCAATAGCTCTCTTGGGTTTGAGGAAGTCTTCATTGCAGCCTCGAGTCAAGAAAACAAAAGGAATGTGTGCAGTTTGCTTTAAACAGTGCTTAGAAATACTCTTTAAAAGGTGCTGAGTGATAAAATTTGGATGCAGAATGAAAGGCATTCAGGAGAGTAAATACCTGCCAATCAAATATTTACTGAAAAATAAGAAATTTGGACCATATTTTTAAATTAAAGCCCTCTAGTAAACATTTTTAAATTAGGAAAGAGACACCAAGAAAAGTTTTCTTTTGTTTCTTGTAATGTTGTTTACGGGCTTCCCAGGAGGCTCAGTGGTAAGGGACCCTCCTGCCAATGCAGGAGACGTGGGTTCAGTCCCTGGGTCAGGAAGATCCCCTGGAGGAGGAAATGGCAACTCACTCCAGTATTGCCTGGAGAATCCCGTGGACAGAGGAGCCTGGCAGGCTACCCAGCCCATGGGATCACAAAGAGTCGGGCATGACTTAGTGACTAGACAGCAACAAAAGCTTTGTTTACGGAGCTAAACGAGAGTGGTCAGCTGTTTAATGAGCAATAGTCCCATAAATCTCTAAGGTAATACAGGACTCATTTCATGTTGTCACACATAGAATGGAGATTTCCTGCTGTACACTGTATTTCCAAGACGTTTCTTTTGGACTTTTCCCCCAGGACGCACCTCCCCACAGTTCACACTTTAAAGTCTGTCTTCTTGAGGCTGCAACCGGCCTCTGGATCCCAACACTGAGTTAAATCTCGGAGACAGAATGTACACTGTATTTCCAAGACGTTTCTTTTGGACTTTTCCCCCAGGACGCACCTCCCCACAGTTCACACTTAAAAGTCTGTCTTCTTGAGGCTGCAACCGGCCTCTGGATCCCAACACTGAGTTAAATCTCGGAGACGGACTTTTGGGTGAAGTAGGAAAGAACAGCTTTATTGCTTTGTGCAGCAAATGGGCCACAGCGGGCTAGTGCTCTCAGAACGGTGTGACCCCCGGGGGTGGGGGCGAGCCGCGGGGCGGCTTCTCGCCCCGGCGGGAGCGCTGATCCGCGTCCCAGCGCGTGCGGGGCCGCGTTCCTTCCGTCCAGAGACCAGCTGGCATCAGGTGGTCTTGTGCTGGGCCTCAGTGGTTCCTATCGAATGTGACCTTCCCTCTCCATCTGGTGGGGTTTCCACGCTGCAGAAGAGTTCCTGTACTGCTCCACGTCCCCTAAGGGCGCGGCAGGACCCTGCCCCAAGGATGCACTGCAGTTCTGCACTGCCCCTCCCTAGTCTCCGCATCCCGGCCCGTCCCTGACTAACAGCTGCTGAGATCTGCCTTTTGGAACCCAGGGAAGGTCCCCGAGACTGAATGAAGCCTATTCCCCACAAGCAAGAAACGGGGGACACGGAAGGGCTTTTGTGTCCAGGAACCCCGTGGGGCCCACGTGGTTTTAGGACCGCAGAGAGCGGGCCCCCCAAGAGCCCCTCCCTTCAGCTGCTCTGCGTCCTGTCACAGGGACGTCAGCCTCTCCAGGACTTTCCAGACACATCACACGTGGCCGGTGGTCTGGAAACACGCACACGTGAGTGCCCATTACGCTGAGAACACGGCGCTTCCGCAGGACTGGAACCTGACGTATTTGGAGGTCACTGTGTTCTCGTGACTGCACTTGATTGCCCGGCAGGTTGAAAAGAGCACCCATCTGGAAATCAAAACATGTTTTGTTTTACTTAGAAATTAACTCTTCTTTCTCCGTGAATCACAGAGAGAACCGTGAACTAGTTCAAGGGAAGTCAAAACCGTCTGAGGAGCGGAACCCCCAGCACGAGGACATGAATGAGTCAGATTCCAAAGGCCCCCTGAGCAGTGGAGAGAGTCTGCAATGGTTTTATCTTAGTGAAATGTTATCACGTATTAAGCCATGTTTGCGTGATATCAGTCTTCGTGGCCTTATGTGAATAAAACCTGTATTCTGATCCCATTAACCCCTCCTCCGGTGGTGTAGTTGGAGCAAATTAACATCTGAGCCCTGGTTTCTTAATCTACAAAACAAGACAGTGGTAACGGGTAATCTAACTTTTTTTTTAACTTTAATATTTCATATAACTTTGAGTTTGCTCAAGGGGTGGATTCGATTATCTAGAAAGAAATGCTAGAGATGAGCCTCGCTGTGCGGGGCTGAGGAGCTCAGTTTCTAGTGGAGGACTGTTTCACATTTCTCCAAAAGCTAAACATTTTGTATGCATGGTAGGAGTTTAGATTTATGATGTTGGACCCTATTTTAAAAAGGAAAGATTTTTTTCCATATTTTTAGCAATTAATTATTGATTTTGGAAGGTAGTAAAAATAACATTTGAATAGCATGGAGAAATAAAGGCATGTGACAACCACTGAAATTGACACACGAAAACCAAGGAAGACAGACCTGGAAGGATAGTAAGAAAGGCATAGAATATAGATTTTTAGACTTTTATGTTTAGCTAATAAAAGGACTAATTTGTCATCAGACCTAAAAGTAATAGTAAGATGACAGCAGTAAATTTAGAATTGTCCCAGGAAATCCAGGACATATGGTCACCCTGCCAAAATAGCAAGGATATATTTTACAAAATAAATTTCTTCTGAAAAACCTCACTTAAAGTGGATACCTTAATCAGAAAAACCAAAAGAGACTTAAATAACTTAAGGTATTCGACCTTCTTCTGTGGATAGGAAGAGACTATTGTATAGTTATTACTTGATGGGTGCTTAACTAGTTACTTTGACTCAGTCAAGTGAAAAAAACAAAGAAAAAGGAATTTTCAATAAAAATGAAATCAGAAAAGATAAAGAAAAATATGCTCCTTTATTTTAATGGTTATATTCCCTTAATTTAATACAATCAGGTAGGTGTTCATAAAATTATATTTTTATTTCTTGGAATATGTAATAAATCATTAGAAAGTTCATAATGCAAAAGATAAAGTTAGCTTTTCTTAAAATTATTTATGCACTGCATATACCCAAAGAAGAGTCATAGAGCGGCCAGTGTTCCCAGTAACAGCTAAGCGATCCCTTACTTCTCTGCTAATTAATCCAGGCAGAATTAAATTACATATGGCATTGCGTTAACTTCACGTCCAGTTTATGGACCTGTCAGGTTATTAACAGTCTGTGCATGTGCGTCACTATCTTTGCTGGAAGACGAGCTCCGAGTTTGCTCCTCGGTATGTAACTCCTGCTGGACGTGCGCCCCGCACTGTGTCAACCAAACGAGGGAGAAAGAGCAGCGGCTTGAACGACGGCCGAAGCCTGGGGGGCGCCCGCCGGCCTGGAGCGGAGGGGCTCCCCCAGCGGGTGCCGCGTCTCCAGAGAGCCAGGGCGCCCCTCGGGGAATCAGAGCGGGACTGTCCCCAACACGCTGTCCTCCCGAGAACAGCGCTTGGTGCTGCCCTGCTGGAAACAGTCCCAGCGTCTCCAAGTCAGCCTGGGACTTACACATTCAGCTTCCTGCTCACCCCTGGTCCACCTGTAAAGGGATCTATCCGTGTATCATCTATCTGTCCGTCCATCCATCTATCCACCACCTATCTATGGACCTATCCATCTATCTGTGTGTCTATCATCTATCCATCCATCCATCCATCCGTATCTGTCTGGCTCTCTACCTACCTATTGATACATTTTCATGTCTGGGTATTACAGCTCTGTCTTAAGCTAAGTTCCCACGTATCACGTTCCAGTATATCATCCACCTCTTGTGGGACCTACATCGCCATCTCTGAGTATTTCATGAAGAGAAAGATGATTGTTGGAGACTTGGCAGCATTTGAATATATGATTGAAAAACCAACAGTTTTTCCTTCCTACAGGCAAAAGAATTACTTATATATATGTAGGTCCTTTATGTATATGTAGCTTACTTATATATAGGTAGGTCCCTTATATATATATATGTAGATCCCTTACATGTATATAGGTCCCTTACATATGTGTAGGCCCCTCACGTATGTGTAGGCCCCTCACGTATGTGTAGGCCCCTCGCGTATGTGTAGACGAATCACTTCATCTCCCCTGCCCCTTTGAGATCCGCGCTGAAGCCTGGTCTGCTAGGAGCCCTCAGCAGAGGGAATGTGTGTCTGCGGTCTTAGGGACCCTCACTCCATGTTGCTAGAGACCCACCAAGCGTTGTTTTCTTTCTGTGACTTGGTTTTCCTTCTGAATGGTGTTTATTTTTTGGTCCTACCAGTCTTTACTAAATTAGTAGTTTGAAAAGAATCTTGGTAAGATTCCTGGTGATAAATATGGTATCAAAGCAGATTTTTGAGCTCGCTAGTGACTTAAAGATTTGCAATAGTTGGAGAAGAGGGTGACAGAGGATATGATGGTTAGATGGCATCACCGATTCAATGGACATGAGTTTGTGCAAACCTCAGGAGATAGTGAAGGACAGGGAAGCCAGGCGTGCTGCAGTCCATGGGGTCACAAAGGGTCGGACACGATGGAGGCGACTTAGCATGCACACATACATTGATAGGTGAAGAGTCACGCTTTCTTTCAAGATATCTTAAGGACAAGCCCTCCTTGCCAGTCGTGGGTGTAGAGCAGATGCAGGTGCAGCCGTGGGCCTTGTCCTCAGGGGGCGTGTGGTCTAAGGCGGATGCAGAGGGAAGTGGGACAAGAGACCCAGGGAAGACACCACGGGTCTTGCACAGGGGCTTAGCTTATTGTTAAATCCATGCACTCAATTCTTAAGTTGCATGACTGTGTCCATTAACTTCTTTAATCATATTCTGACTTGTGACAGTTCGCATTGCGTGTCACTAGATAGTCAAAGCCAGTTATGAGAATCTAATATTGTTGTGTTACGTTCACTGTTTTTAGAAAGTTGAGCTATAAAGAAAGTCATTTCTCCCACGTGTCTTAGTGATATGTTTACTCCAGAAAGGAAAAATATACTAGTTGTTTTTGCAACCTCAGAGATAGATTAGAAATACTAATCTCTAACAGAATGTGATTAAATAACTTGCTTTTAAATATATGTGGAAGGCAGAACTCGGATGTAGCTGAGACGTCCAGCACTGGCCAAAGCTAAGATAACTCAGAAGCTCGTGCTCAGAGCCTGGCCCCGTGCAGCAGTCTGGACCGGGTGTCACACATTCGTGCCGTGTGCCCGGATTGGAGGGTGGTCGTGGCTGGGTCGGACTGTGGGCTGGACGGCGTGTTGTCTGCTCCCTCTACCCGGCGGCCCTGTGCTCTGAACGAGGCCTGGTGGTTCATTCTGAAGGTTCTGCTCCGCAGGTCGTCCACATGGGCTGGGTCAGCGAGCGACTGGGAGGCGCCGGCTCGTCTCGGACCTTCAGACCCAGGTTCCTGGCGCTGAAGGGCTCATCCTTCTACGTCTTCGTCTCTCCTCCGGTAAGCGGGCCCTTGGGGCTGGGAGGGACGCTGAGGAGGCCACTCTCTAAGCGAAGACGCGTCAGGCCTAGCATTTGGAAGTGGTCAGGACCGTGCGCGGCGGGCCAGCCTCCAGCCCCACGTCCGCTGATGGAAAGGACTCTGCTGTGGGCTCTTCTCTCGCTAAGCTCATTAATCAGCCGGCCACGGTTCCCTTCTTTTCAAGCAGCCACTGAGACGTGAGCGTGTTTTCCTGCTGAAGGTACCAGTCGGCCTGGAGGTGGGGGTGCAGAGGCGTGGGGGGGTCTCAGACCACCTTTCATATGGGTGAAGGAGCCACAGAACAGGAGAAGAGTCTTCTCATCAGAAATTCCTAACTTCATGGTCAAATAGTGAAACACAAAAAGACATTTTCTCTCATGTCCTCCACGTTTTATAAAAATAAGCAGCCTGATTTAGTAGGGCCCACAATAGAAATTTAATGCTGAATGCTACAGTTTGCAATTTATTTTCTAATTCTCACCAGCACCACTTTCTCAAAACCGACCAAGTCTGTGTGTGCCCTGCCTCAAGGTTTATCGGTAAAAGCCGATTCACTTTCTGGGTCCGAACATCAGAGCTGCAAACAAATAGCACAACCTAATCGCTTCAGGATCTAACAGTTGAGATGCAAGTCACCTACAGTATTGTTGCTTTTCTGCCATTAAAAATAAACGAAAGAGTGTCCTTCCCTGTAGGGCCGAATGCCCTTCTGCTGTCCTCACACGGCCCGTTTTCTTTATCCGCCCTCCACCCATCAGCGGACACTGNACCTGGAAAGGCCTCCGAATCTTTCCTTTCTTGCTAATTGAGACCCTCAGGGTATGAGTTTTCCCCACACACAGCATTCTAAGTTGTGAGAAGTGCTTTAAATGTTAATCAAATTTCCATACTTGCTCTGGGGAGAGATGATTTCATCCACTTCCCTTGGCAGTTTCAGTTTCACGGACAGAAATTCTAACCGGGGGGTCACAGGGTCCTCCAGGATCTCCAGCTGGACAGTGTCATTTCTGTTAACACCAGGCTCTGCTTGTTTATTTTGAAATCCCATGGCAAATTTTCTTGGCGTCGATCCGTGGCACAAGCATCACATCATACGAAATCGATTGCTGACTTCAGCTGCTGGGGTGTGTTCGCCTGGCGCCAGCTGCTACCACCTGAATATTGTGCTCAGAAGCTTGAGATCCGCTCAGCGCTCTGCTCTGAGCGGGCGTCTGGCCGAGGGGCCGAGTAGTCTCTCTGCACCCCACGGGTAGGGTGCCCCTCTCCCTGGCCTCCCTGGAACCGGAAGCAGCTTTTACCTCTGCTCCTCCCCTTTCTTAGGTGGCTTTGGGACGAGGTCCGACTCTCTGCGGCCCCATGGACTGCAGCCCGCCAGGCTCACCTGTCTTTCACCATCTCCCAGAGTTCGCTCAGACTTAAGTCCTTTGAGTTGGTGTTGTAACCTTATCATCTCATCCTCTAAAATTATTCCCCAAGAAAAAGCTCATTAAAGAAAACCTTGCTTATCACTGAAAATATGCTTTATTGTCTAGATGTCTGAGAGTAAAACTTGATTTGCCCTCTACTATTTTTTAGTTTTAGAACTTCTACATCACAGGTAGTTTAGTAGCAGCAGGTACACCGCATCTTTTCACAGACGCCCCTGCTCCTGACTCTGGATTCAGGGGGTACAGATGCTCAGCTGACCCCAGAGGTGAAAAGGGTAATGCGGCAAGTCTGGTCCCCTCTCCAAGCCCTGGCTGCCTCTGGACCGAGGTCAGCTGTTCAGGCTCTCACCAGTAAGTTAGGGTTTGCATGAATTCAGTGCGGGGCTGGCGGCTGCTGGGAGCTGGAGGTCCGGATCCATCCTGACCCTGCCCACCATCTAGCGAAGCTGCGCCACCTCCCGCAGCGGGCATGAGCGCCCCGCATGTGCTGACGTTGGAGGGTGAGACGCGTGGTGAGCGGGGCACCCGGCTGGTTCCTGGTCCCCGGGGAGAAGCTCTGAGCTCCGCTCCCCTGACCGGCCGTGAGTACCTGCCTCATGGTCTGAGGCTCTGTCGTTAGGTGCAGCCGTGTTAAGGATGGTTACGTGCTTTGAGAACTGACCGTTAGTCCTTCCGTAATAACCTTCTTTGTCCCTGATAACCCCTTATTGTAACATGTGCTCTGTAAGAAAGGGATACCCCTCTGCTTCCTTCCGATCCGGGGAGTCTTTTCTCCACCCCCTGCTCTCAATCCACGTGTGTCTTGGGGCCGCGTCGGGCCCAGGCCAGTCGTCTCTTCGGCTCCAAGAAGACTGGTGACGCTTCCGTCCGTTCAGGCCTGTCCTGCCGCTCACACAGGCGTGCTGACACTCAGCCGCTTACCTGCGGAACCAGAAACACAGCAACTTTATGAATAGAAAAGAAAAATTAAACATCGCTCCTACATAGTGGCATTATGCTGGTTTAAAGTGAAATGTTTAAATAATTTTCACAGACTATCCAAAATAATGAAAGCATATTTTAAAATGGGGGCTGAAAAAAAAAATGAGGGCTGAAAGATTTAATGAGACAATGGAAATATTTACTCAGCAAAATGTTAGAGAAAAGGGCCTTAGGGGAAAGGAAAGCTGTAAGTTGACGATTGGAAGCTTTGGGCTGTAAACGGATCCCTCCACTCCCTGGCTAAGGGAACACGGAAACGGACCCCTCCACTCCCTGGCTAAGGGAACACGGAAATAGATCCCTCCACTTCCTGGCTAAGGGAACACGGACACCTCACCCACCCTCTGCTCAGCGGTTTCCTCAGTTGTATGAAAAAGTCACAAATGCTAGCTGAATACCTCATAGGATCAAACAGAACACTAACACTTGATTTATATACTTAAAATGTGTCTGAAACTCCAGAGCATTTGCATTTAACAGACGTAATTTTACGCTTAGTACTCGGCAAGTTCTCACTGTAAAAGCAATACACAAAGAATGGCCAGTGAATATTTACACATATGTAAATCTATGTATGTTCTGTCTGACCTTGGATTTTTGTATCCTGGAGCTAGAGGCAAATTGCCAGTAATGATTTCTGCTTTGCCCAAATCTAAAGCAACCGTATGTGACGCTCTTAACGCTGTATTTATCTGTCTCCTGTGTGCTGACGTAAGGAGTGAGGTCATGCCTGTAAGGGGACCTTCGATGACTCGCAGCATCTTACCAGCGTCCTGGCCCCACTGCTGGGCTCTGCGTCCGCAGAGGGGGGCACCACAAGAGAGGGCTCGGGGTCACCGGGCGTCTCCGGGCTGGGATGACAGGACAGCTCTCTTGCAGGGCGGGGTGGGGGGTTGGGAGGAGAGCAGATAAATTACTCCAGGAGAGCGGAGCCCCAGAGGCACCCGGGATGTGCCCTGGGACCCACGAGAGGACGCAGCCAGTAGCGAGGGTGGGGCGCCCAGGTTGTAACCGAAGGCAGGTCGACGCGGGAGAAGCTGGATTTTCCCAGCCTTCTCATGTACTTGACCTTCCTTCCTTAAAGTGAGTAGTTATTTCTGTTTGCAAATTGGAACCTGAAAAATAATGTTTCAATTGCTTGTGTTTTCAAACACCATTAAAATGTGTTAAACAGCACTTATGAAACCAATTTTAGAGCATCTTACAGCCTTAACACACATTACGTGGCACTTGGCTATGAATGTGCAAGAAAAATCGGAAGGAACCTTCAGGTTGTCAAGTAGGGAAATATATCACTTAAAAAATATTTACCTGGAAAGAAATAAATTAAGATATGTAAGCTGAAGGCGTATTAGACAATTATGTACCCAGTATAGAATATTATTCTCTGTCACTTCTGTGGGTACATAAGTGTTCCACAATAATATTTAAATGTTCCAGGATATCACATCTGAGCATCTACAGTTTCAACTCTGTTTCAGGTGAGATGTGCTCAGATAAAATAGAACATTGTCAAGAGAGAGGGCAAGGAAGAGACCTGCTTTCGGGAGTTGATGAATAGACCTTGTGAGGTTTGCAGAAAAGTGAGCGGCTAGTGGAGTTCAGGCCCTGCCCCCCTTCTCACTGTCCTGGCTCAGTGGGCACGTGTCCCAGCCGATGACCATCACAGGTACATCAGTGACCACCGCCACAGGGTCCCCACACAGCTTCCAGAGGCTCTCAGGGCAGAAGCGCTTCTCTTCAAGTCCAGGGAAGAAACAGTTCCACCTGAAGCTGGAGCCTCTTCTCAGCCTCAGGCGCATCCCTGACGGGACATCTTCTTCTTGAAACGGTCTCTGTGGCCCAGAGGGGGAGATGAACCGCCCCCCGGGCTGAGCCTACACCTGCCAGTATCACGGAGCCGGGCGTGGAGAGGGGTCTTTCCCAGGTGCGGGGGAGAGGAGGCTGACTGTCAGCAAGGAAAATTGGATAGAAGAGACATCTCCAACCACAGGTGGCCACTGCAGACCCAAGAGAGCAGGGCCGTAGCAGACAGGTCAGGACCGTAGCAGGGTGAGTGAGGAGATGTGCACCTGGGAGACCCAGTACCCCCTAGATTCTTAAATTTAACCCAAAGTTGGTCCTTCACTTAAGGTAAAAGCATCCAAAAAGAATTCCTTAAGTGATGCCCAACTGTGTGTAATCGGTAAGTTCCTCCATCACCAGGTTCTAGAATCAAAATGTGTGTAAGCATATTCGAACCTCATGCCAAGACTCCAAGGGCGGGAACACACAGCTACTCGCTGGAGTCCACCACGGCGTCTAGTCCAGTTTGCCAACTGTCCTGCTCCTGCTTAAGGTTTAATTAAGGAAAAGACACATTGACTGACTTTATTGTTATAAATGTTTAAACTCTCACCCTGAAAACATTTATCTAATTTCATGTATACTTTAAAAGCCTTTTTCCAGTTTTATTGAGGTACAGTTAAGAAAAGTGTAATACGTGTAAAGTGTACAGTGTGACCACTTGATGTCTGTATACCTGTCCAGCGAGTCCCACAAGCGGGGTGATTAACACCTCCGTCACCTCACACAGCTCCCCATATTTTGGGTGAGAACACCTAAGATTCACGTGTCTGTCTTATGTTTCTTACAGGTGAGCCCATTGGATTGGGTCCAAGCAGAAAAAACCTATCACCTCTGTGAGGTTCTGTTTAAGGTTCACAAGGTAAGTTTAAGCATCCTTTGCACACCAGATGTGTCCATGTTAACAGCCGTCTTTGTGCTTGAAAAGGGAGAGAGAGATTTACCAGTGTCAAAACAGTCAGATGACATGAGCATATACAGGTTCGTCCCGCCATCGCTCATCAAAATTCCGCGAAGAATGTCCGAGAGGCGCTTTCAGGCCTTTATTTTCTGTAGGCTCTGCATTGTTTCATTCTGGCCTTTCTGTATTTACAGCTTGTCTGTGTGGCTTTCCATACACTTGAGAGTGGAGAAGGAAATGGCGACCCTCTCCAGGATTCTTTCCTGGAGAAGCCCGTGGACAGAGGAGCCTGGCGGGCTGCAGTCCCTGGGGCCGCACAGCCGGACACGACTGAGCCTCTAAACCGCCTCCACCGCACACTGACGAGGGCTTCCCAGGTGGCGCTAGTGGTGCAGGGCCCGCCTGCTAGTGCGGGAGACACGAGCAACGCAGGTTCGATCCCTGGGTCAGGAAGATCCCCTGGAGGAGGGCGTGGCAACCCACCCCAGAGTTCTTGCCTGGAGAATCCCGTGGACAGAGGAGCCTGGTGGGCTGCCATCCATGGGGTCGCAAAGAGTCGGACACGACTGAAGTGACTTAGCACAGCATACATCTAAGACACGTATTTGGTATTGGACTGTCTCCAAAAACCATCATATTTTATATGTGAGCTTCATTAATAAACTATAGAGCTTCTTCTGTTTTATCCAGCATATTTTTTCAGAAAGATTGAGAAAATGTTTAATCAGTAAATATGCTGTGAAGTAACTGAAATCATGCAGTTAGCCAAGAGGATGATTATAGCAAAAGTGTTAAACTCAATTCAGGGCAAATAATAGCAACAACAATAATAAATGCACAGCGTTTGACATTTTTAAAAAGGAGACTGAAAGTTGTGGATATCCTATTAGAAGTCTTTAAATAGTGATCTTACAAAATCTCCCCCTTTCTAATGTGACTTTAATCCTTGATGCTGAACATATGAATTTAAAATTATGATATTTAATTCACCTTTCAAAAATTCAGATAAATGATGGTTTTAAGAACTAGTACTTTAGAATTTTTTAATGATTTATTTTCATAATCATTCACCGTATCGTCGTTAACATATAGTCCAGGAATCAAAGTTTGTGGCTGTGGTGGTGTGTTTCTGCAACACTTTCTCCTCTCCGTAAATTACTTTTTCTAGTTCTTAAAGTTATGTATCTGTATTTCACACTCACCATGAAAGAGATGAGAAAATTGAATCAATCAGACTTGATTGCAGTTGTGACTGAAATTATAAACAGCCCCCACACCGTGGGTAATGAAGCACTGCTCAGCAGCGAGGCACGTCCTGTGTGAATATCCCCTCCCCACATAAGAGTATCCCGTCTGCATTTCTCAGTGCAACTAGTTACTCACCTGTTTGGCAAAGGACCTTGATACCGGTGTCTTCCCTTTGCTGAGCGCCGGTCCTGGAGCTCTGCTGGGTGCTCCGTCTCCCTCCTGAGTTAGTCCTGCCCCCCACGCCCCCCACGAGGGAATCCTCACCGTGTTCATCTTCCAGCTGAGGCTCTGATGCACAGACTAGGGAGTAACTTCCAGAAGCCGCCCTGGAGGCGGGGGGCCCAGGCTCCCTTGGCCTGAAGCGTAGCTGAATCTTATTTTACTTTACATACACGATTCTTTCTTCCCTCTGCAGATGGAAGCATACGCACTAACCCTCACGTCACTTTTCGCTCTGCACTGTAACTTGCGGATCTTCAGTATACGCAAAGAGGTGATCCCTCTTTAATACCACTGACTAGTATTTAATTCCATGAATATATCATACTTTATTTCACCAAGCCCTTATGAAGGAATATTTAATTTGTTCCCTTTTCTGAAATTACAAACAATGTAATAGATCATTTTACATGTGTGCAAGTATAACGAAGAAAAATGTATAGAGGCGGAATTTCTGGGGCAAAGAATGGGAACTGTTTGCGTTCTAATAACCAACAAGGACGTATTGGATAGCACAGGGAACTCTGCTTCATAATCTATAACAACCTGAATGGAAAAATGATCTGAAAAATAATAGATACATGTATAAATCAACCTTAACTATTCATTGGAAGGACTGGTGCTGAAGCTGAAGCTCCAACACTTTGGCCATCTGATGCGAAGAGCTAACTCATTGAGAAAGACCCTGATGCTGGGAAAGACTGAAGCTAAAAGGAGAAAGGGGAAGCAAAGGATGAGGCGGTTAGGTAGCAGAGCCAGCTCAGGAGACATGAATTTCAGCAAACTCCAGGAAAAGTGAAGGACAGGGAAGCCTGGAGTGCTGCAATCCATGAGGCCACAAAGAGTCGGACACAGCTTTGCAGCCGAGCGCCCACACTTACGTATAACTGCATCACTTCGCTGTATGCCTGAAACTAATACAGCATTGTAAATCACCCTTGTGTGTGTGTGTGTCTGTGTGTGTGTCTGTGTCTGTGTGTGTCTGCGTGTGTGTGTGTCTATGTGTGTGTCTGTGTATGTGTCTGTGTGTGTGTGGTGTCTGTGTGTGTCTGTGTGTGTGTGTGTGTCTATGTGTGTGTCTGCGTATGTGTATGTGTCTGTGTGTGTGTGGTGTGTGTGTGTCTGTGTGTGTGGTGCGTGTGTGTGTGCTTTCTCATTGTGTCTGACTGTCTTGTGACCCCATGGACTGTAGCCAGCCAGACTCCTCTGTCCATGGAATTTCCAGGCAAAAATACTGGAGTGGGTTGCCATTTCCTCCTCCAGGGGGTCTTCCCAACCCAGGGATCAAACCCACATGTCCTCCATTAGCAGGTGAATTCTTTACCACTGAGCCTATTCTTTACCACCTTTACCACTGAAGCCCTAAATCAACCTTACTCCAATAATAAAACATTTTTAAGCAGAAATAAAAAAAGAAATGCAAGTGAAAATCATGAAGTGATATGTTTGCCGCCTAGAGTGTCAAAGGTGGGAAGGTTGGTACCGATGGGAGGAAGGCTCTATCAGAATGTGAGCGGCCCTTCGACCTGGAAATCCCACCTGTGAGTGCTGGTCTGTCTCACTTGTCGGCAGCACTGGCCTTGCAGGAAGCGCTCTAGCTCCCCTCTGGGACCTGTTCTCCACTTGCCGCTCACTGGACCCGTGTGAATAATGGCAGCATGACCCCTCAGGTCCCGTTGGAAGAAACCGTCCCCGTCCAACTTGGACAAGGACGATGTTCAGTGCGGGCAGAGACTGACCTCAGCTCCCCGGGAACAAGGGGCGGGGGCCCCTGGGCTGGGTGAGGAGGCGAGCGTGGGCCAGGTGGGCCCCGCCTGCAGCCCCCGACCCCCTGCCGCCGACAAAAGGAAAAGACCTCTCTGGCGTCTCCGTGGGTGGAGACAGTCTTGCAGTCTGGTTGGACCCCTCGGAGGGAGAGTCCCACGTGCAGAGCTTGGAGGACAGGGGCACGTCCTGGGCCTTCGCCCTCCGGGGGCGTGGAGGGCTCCGTAGAGCTGGCAGCGCTTTAATAAGATCTCCGTCTCCAGGGGCAGAGAGAGGACTCAGAAGGCTCTCCGAGGGTGGCAGGCCCGGGGAGGTGGCTGGCAGCCGGCACGGGGCCACGGCAGCTGTCGAGGCTGTGGGAAAGGCGTGGGGGCCCGGCTACTCAGTCTCCAGCTCAGGGACCTTAGGTTTGAAGTCGCTCCGTCTTTAGTCATGATGAGACATTGCAGTTCACAAGAACTGAGCTTGTGGTCTTCAAAAGGGCCCCGGGAGATAGCTGGGGCGGAGCTGTGCATGGTCAGTAACCTCACTCATCATCAGCATCAGTGTCTCGGCGTTCTTCGTGGGGCTCAACAGATTTAGCTTCAGGAAGTAGTCACATCTGCGAAACCCTTAAGCATTCTTCCCAGGGGTTTCTTGGGTTGGGCAAAGGCTGTTTTTAGTTCTCTTTGTTCTTGCACATAGAGCTGAGGTTTGTCCATTCAGGTGAAGACTCACACGCACTTGACTGCTCCATCAGACGAACTCAGTCTTAGGAACTGACTCGACACAAGAAAGTCACAGGAGTCAGATAGTTGTGCCCATAGAAATATACAGTGATGTTTTTAAATTAGTGAAAGTTGGATGAATCGTTCAAAAACCATTGAGAAATAAAGTTTCAATGTGATCGTGTATTTTAAGTACTCCATTAAAATCACATTACACACTTATAGAATTATGTGTACAAAGAGCTATGAAAGAAAGAAAGAAAGTGAAGTGGCTCAGTTGTATCCAACTCTTTGCGACCCCATGGACTGTATGTAGCCTACCAGGCTCCTCCGTCCATGGAATTTCCCAGGCAAGAATACTGGAGTGGGTTGCCATTTCCTTCTCCAGGGGATCTTCCCCACGCAGGGATTGAACCTGAGTCTCCCTCATTGCAGGCAGACGCTTTACCCTCTGAGCCACCAGTGATCTGGAATCTGGAGACATTGCCTGGAGGGACTACAAAAACAAATTAGATGACAAAAGGCAGTCATAATGGAATTATCTGTCTTTTAAATTTCCTATATTGCTGCTATCATATTTTCAAATAAATAGAAGCAGGAAAGACCCAGGTAATTTTTTTAAGGCGGTCAAACATATTTCACTTTACATGATGAATGTACTAACTTTCCAGATTACCTTCAAATTGGGATCACAGATTAATTTTTCTTTTGACAATTGTTTGGTATTTTTCACTTTTACACAATCCAAACAAGGGCTCTGCACAAATGCAACATCCAACTCAAACAATAAAATGACCGTAGCGCGAACAGAAGAGCTACAGAGACAGAAGACAGAAGTGAAAAATGGCGTTGGCGCCAAAGCGACCCCATGGACTGTGGTCCACAGGGTCCTCTGTCCACGGGATTTCCCAGGCAGGGATACTGGAGTGGCTTGCCATTTCCTTCTCCAGTCAGGTAATTTTTTAAAACAGTCTTTGCGTTTTGTTTTCCGAAGAGTGAACGTTAGGTGTCTCCCTTCACAGGGCCGGGGGCAGGGGGCGCCTCGGGGTGGGTGGATGGAAGCATGGTGCTGGCTTGTGTGGTCGCTGAAGCACTCAGGAGCCCGTTCGCTACATGTTAGACATGCAAGCTCAGTCTGTGCCCCCTCAACCCTGCCTGACGGCTGGCATGCTCGGTGTAAGCAGAACGTGAGCCGCGTGGTGAGGATGCAGGAGCCGCAGCCTCATTCCTGGCATCCCTTAATTAGCCCAAGACTTGCGGTTCAAGTGGGAGACTCAGGGAGAAGTAAAATCTCAAGGTCAACCGCTGACAATTGGCCAGGAAGGTCCCAAGTGTTGTCTGTCTTGCCCGAAAGCCTGTTTTTATTCTATTGAAATGCACAGCCCCCTAAACCACACCCAGCGTAGGAAAGAACACGGCCGCAGTTTCCCCCACACAAACACTCGCTAAGAGTCCTTTCTTCTTTGGTGGATGGTCCTGACACTCAAGGTTGGTAGCCGTGGACAGTTTCTGAGAAGTCAGGTCCGTGACCGAAGGCTTGCTCTTCTTGGCTCACGACCTGATGTCCTATTTCCTGTGTGGTTTCTGGGCATCCCCGTCTGAGGTCACAGCCTGGGGGGGGGTCCCTGTGGAGCACGTCCCGGGCGGGTCCTGGGGGCCATCCCCCTCTCACCGGCGTCACCCCCATCCGTTTCAGCTCTGGCTCCCAGGTGACCGCTGGGCGCAAGTCAGCCTCCCCCTGGGACTCCGGGATCCCGGTGGCGGGGACCACGGGCCCTTCTGCTTCAGCATCCTCGTGAGCCACGGCGGGGGCCACGTGTTCACTGTGGAGCTGGGCAACGAGCTGGCCGCCTGGGAGCTGTCCTTCCAGAGAGCCACCTTCCGAGCCGTGCAGAGGACAGGGGTAAGTGGCCCGCTCGTCTCTGAGTGATCTGAATCAGAGCGGACGTGGTGGTCGTTCCGGGAAGCACGCATCTGCAGAAGCCAGGAGGACTCTGCCCAGGGCCCCGGGCCCAGCGCGTCGGGAGCCGCTGTGGAAGGTCATGGAGGGAAGCAAGGTGGGGAGTTTTCATCTCGTTCAGCCCAGCGTTTCTGTCCAGCATGAGCTAGGGGCCTGGATGCCAGCCAAGGGAAGCCCCCCACCGAGGGCATGGCTGGGTCCCTGGAGTCTGCTCATTGCCCATGTTTACTGAGACGTCACTGGGTGCTTGGCATTTCTTCAGGCACTTGATGGCCCTTCCTCAGACTCACTGACCCAGTGAGGAGCATAACACAGCTCGAGTGTTTGGGTTGTTTCCCCCTCCTCGGTACAGAAGGTAAATCCCACAGATTGAGCTGTGTGTGGATGGAGCAGTCCCCTCCTGAGACCTTATGATGTGAAAAATAATGACCTTCAGGTTGTCCCAGAGCTCTCTTAAGCTATCCTCATTTTAAAACTCTTTTTTCTGTCCGGCGTGGTTGACTCCCACTGCTCTGTCGTCCAGCGTCCTGCTCTGCTCTGCTCCTGTGTATCATCTAGTCTACTCTTGATGCCTCCTGGTGTATTTCTAATTTTTCAGCGCTCTTTGATTCGTCTTTATGTTTTCTGACTCTGTTAAACCTCTTACTGTGTTCGTTCTCCTCCCCAAGTTCTCAGCACCTTTCGGGTCATTGCCTTGAACTCTGTTGGGTAGATTTCTTATCTCCACTTTGCTTAGTTCCTCTTGGGTTCATCGTGCCCCATCACTGGGGAAACATGCCTTCGTTCCCTCATCTTGCCTACTTCTCTGTGTCTGTGTGTCCCAGGAGAGCCGGTTACTTTTCCCAATCTTGGAGACGTCCCAAGGCTCCAGCGGCACACAGTCCCCTGGACGCCGGAGCTGTGCGCTCCAGCAGGGCCCCATGCGCGCGTATGGGTGCCTCTGTGCAGACAGGGCTGACTGCGGTGGGCAAACTGCTGGACCGCTGGTCCCTGGCCCCCCGGCTGCCAGGCCCCGCCTGTGTGGAGGTTGCTAGATGCTGCGGTGAGGCTGCGTCCTGAGGCAGCTAGCCGTGGAGTGTGAGGGGCCCCGGGCTGGTCCAGCTGGTGGCGCTGGGTCCTTTGGTGGGGCCGTGCTAGGGCTGGCCTTCTGGTGACTGGGCCCGAGTCCCCTCGTGGTCGACTGCTCAGCCTGGGGTCCCAGGGCTGGTGGGAGAGCTGAGCCCACGCTCAGAGACTCTGGGGAGGACCCCACAATGGCCCTCATCAGCCCCTGCGTCCCCACACTAGAATCTGCTTCCACGTGGGCGCTGCCCCATCCACACCCCCGGGGTGACTTCCAGCTGCCCCCAGCCTCCCTGGAGATGCTCCAGGGTCAGCAGGTAGGCCTGACCCCGGCTTCCTCCCAGTTATCAGCCCTGCCTCAGAGGGAGCAGGTCAGCGTGTCCCCGGCCAGCACAGCGCCCTCACACAGGGGGTCCCCCCCCCGGGCCCCCGGGAGCATCGTCTTCCAGGAGCTGTTTCCCCACAAGGGCAGAAGCTTGCCTGGGGAAACTTACCTTATCTTTTCATAGGGAGCGTGCCCCTCAGCAAGTTGGCTCTAGTATCCCTCGGTGTTGACCCAATTCCCCAAAGGTGTTATGTAAGGACACAGGAAATGTAGCCTGGAAATGTCGCGACTGGAGGAACTGTCTCCTGAAACAGAGCGGGGGGAAGGCGCGGTCCCCCAGGGGCTGGAGGGCTCACCCTTGGCTCCTGCCATATGGGTCTGGCGCGCCTGGCATCACCACCACCGTGCCAGGATCCATGTGCTTACCTGAGAATTTGACAGACTAGCAGCCACGGGAGCACCGACCATGCCGACTCAGCCGGCACGGCTAGGAGCTGTGTGCACCGATCGCCTGATCCTCGCAAACCCCGAGCCTGTCGGGGTCGCCCCGCCCGCCCCCACAGCAGTCTCCCTTCCGCAGCCCCGGGCGCAGAGCTTGGTGGAGTCTCTGCTGCTTCTGTCCTTTGCTCTTGTTCTGGGTCAGAACCCTCGGAACGTCTCCCGAGAGCAGCCGGGTCTCATGTCTGGGGACGCACTTGAAGGCGGGCCTGTCCCGAGGCAGCTTGCAGGAGCGAAGCGTGCACGCTCATTCGTGTAACGGGGATGGTGCTGGGTGGCATCACAGGGAGTTATGATCTGGGGTTAGGGTGTTTCTGGAGGACGCTGTCGGGCTCCGCTCTGCTGAGACCGGCACCTCTGCTGACTGCACCTGCTGGTGGGCCAGCGCGGGAGGCGCTGCGTGAGAGCCGCGGCCCAGGGACCTCCACGCGCTTTGGCTTCCTAAAAGCAGGTTCTGATGGGGGAGAATAGTGTAAGTAAGTGTAAGCGTCCATCGCTCAGTCGTGCCCGACTCTTGGCGACCCCACGGACTGCAGCCCACCAGACTCCTCTGTCCCTGAGATTTTCCAGGCAAGGATACTAGAGTGGGCTACCATTTCCTCCTCCAGAGGATATTGTAGCTACCCAGTTGGGATTAAGCACCATTTTAATAAGATGTTTTCTCACAATTGATCCTTTTTTCTAGTCCAAAACGTACCCATGCAGCTGGCAAGGAGCCAGTCTGTGCTTCACGGTGGACTTTGTTCTCGGCTTCACCTGTTTCGACAGCAAGACCAAGGTAGGTGCCCGCAGGCAGGGGTGGTGCGGGTGGGCGGAGCGTGCATTACATTTCAGGGCTGCCACGCCCGTCCGCGTCTGCGCACCGCCGCCCTAACAGCCGTGTCCTCTGCACCGGCTCCTTCGTGGTGACCCGCTCTCGGAGAACTCAGGGTCCCAGCATCTTACAGGTCCAGGGCTGGGCAGGGCTGACAGCACATCAGCGTACCGGAGTGATTCAGTGTGGTCTTAATGTCCGTGCCCAGCAAATAACAAGGACTTCTCTTTAAGGACCATCGTGGATCCTTTAAATGATAAGCGGGGAGTTCTGCATGGTCTTGTCTGTACTGTTTTAGCAGTCATTTATGATTCCATGTAGATAATAATTCTGTAGGTGGTTCCTAGAAAGTTACACTGCTGAGCTTTTCCTCTTCATAGTCAAATCTGACCCAACACTACCGTAGCAGTGATGGAAGAGGTTTCTGAATGTCCTCGTTCTGGGTGGGTCCAGTGATTCCCACCCGAAAGGGCCTTGGTGCCCGAGTTGGGGAGCAGGGGAGACTGGACTCCGCTCCCCCATCATGGAAATGGAAGTGCTGGAGTCACTGTCCCCTGAGACCCCTGGGGTCCCGAGTTCCCCAGCATCGAGGAGGAGCGTACATGGTGGCACTCGGCTGTAAGATGCAGAGACCGTTCGGCTACAAGATCCAACATGAGAGGAAGGTGCGCAGGGACCTCAAGGCTGGTGCAGCGTGAACAGACAGCCGAGGGCAGAGGGAACAAGAGCGCCTCTGCAGTGCTCCCCAGCTCCCAGCCTCTCGGCCGCTGTGATCCTCAGAGAAAATATGCTCATTATTTCAAAATAACTGCCTTTAATACAATGCAGCTTATAGCTTGCTGAAAAATTGCTGTTCTCTATTCAGGTTTTTTCTGGGAAGGTAAAGATTTGTTATCCTAAAGGGCCTCTAATTAAAGACTACCTTCTTTAAAGGCTTTCCTCATAGCTCAGTTGGTAAAGAATCTGCCTGCAATGCAGGAGACCCTGGTTCAATTCCTGGGTCATAGAGATCCGCTAGAGAAGAGACAGGCTACCCACTCCAGTATTCTTGGACTTTCCTGGTGGCTCAGCTGGTAAAGCATCCACCTGCAATGTGGGAGACCTGGGTTCAGTCTCTGGGTTGGGAAGATACCCTGGAGAAGTGAAAGGCTACCCACTCCAGTATTCTGGCCTAGAGAATTCCAGGGACTGTATATAGTCCATGGGGTCACAAAGAGTTGGACACAACTGATTGACTCTTACTTACCTTTTATAAAAGAAAGTCATGAAGTCTTTATTTGCAACAGCCTTTTTTTTTTCATTAAAAGAGTAAGCATTTATAGAATACACATCATCTCTGTAGTACCTTAGCTAATAGTAAGCAGTCTTTGCAGTAGTATTCAAAGGTAATATCATCCATATTATTCAGCTGGGTTCAAAAGAAGCCAGCACTGGGTGATTTGAACTTTGTCTTGTTGGAGGGGGTAGGATTTGTTTTACCTGCACTGTCAGTCACGTCTCACACACTGTAACAGGGGCTGGGCCTTGGAGAGGGTTAAGTTTTACAGGCAGAAAAGGGAGTGAAGCTCTGATGATGCTTTCAGATGTAAGGACAACCCAGGAGAAAGCAGAGGGAGTGGAGAGGGATCCGGGAAGAGACACTGGGGCCTGGGCTTTTTGGCACCCAGACGGGCTACTCTGAGCTTGAAGGGAGGGCCCCTGGGACATCTGGTGGCAGAGGGGTCAGTCCCATCGACCCAGAAAGAGAGTAGAGCTCCTAAGTCACCACGTACTCAGTGACAGAGGTAACCGAGCAGGCATCTGTGCACACAGTTGACCCAGCAGGCGTCCATGCGCACGGGTGACCCAGCAGGCATCAGTGGCATGGGTGACCCAGCAGGCATCAGTGGCATGGGTGACCCAGCAGGCATGACTGTACACAGGTAACCCAGCAGGCATCAGTGTACACAGGTAACCCAGCAGGCATCAGTGTACACAGGTAACCCAGCAGGCATCAGTGTACACAGGTAACCCAGCAGGCATCAGTGTACACAGGTAACCCAGCAGGCATCAGTGTACACAGGTAACCCAGCAGGCATCAGTGTACACAGGTAACCCAGCAGGCATCAGTGTACACAGGTAACCCAGCAGGCATCAGTGTACACAGGTAACCCAGCAGGCATCAGTGTACACAGGTAACCCAGCAGGCATCAGTGTACACAGGTAACCCAGCAGGCATCAGTGTACACAGGTAACCCAGCAGGCATCAGTGTACACAGGTAACCCAGCAGGCATCAGTGTACACAGGTAACCCAGCAGGCATCAGTGTACACAGGTAACCCAGCAGGCATCAGTGTACACAGGTAACCCAGCAGGCATCAGTGTACACAGGTAACCCAGCAGGCATCAGTGTACACAGGTAACCCAGCAGGCATCAGTGTACACAGGTAACCCAGCAGGCATCAGTGTACACAGGTAACCCAGCAGGCATCAGTGTACACAGGTAACCCAGCAGGNTCAAGCTGCAGATCATATTTAAACTCAGTATTTCAGCCACAGTGACATGTTAAAGGAGTTTAATAAAAATCTAGGTCCGTAGGATAAATGAATTGCAGAGGCGACTACCAGGGTGGCAGGGTTAGAGCAGGGGCTGAACCTGGTGCTCATGCGCCCGGCTGCCCGCTCCCTGCGGGGAGCTGCCTGACCTGCAGAAGCAGCACACACACATACGCCCGCGCATGCACATGCATGCATGTGCATAGATGCATGCAACACAGGGCACGTGTGCACACGGGCAAAACATACACAGACACGTGCGCACATGCAGAGGGGCACATTTGTGCACACATGTTCACACACATGCAGCTGAAGCCAGATTCCTTCTCCTAAATTGTGACGGTGAGCCCTGCTGTGTAACATCCGGGCAGGGGCCACCGTGAACTCCTGCAGGCTTTGTGGAGGCTGAGGACCCAGCACAGATGGACTCAGGGTTCCACACAGAGCACCTGAGTGCCAACCCATGTTAGTTACCAGAAATCCAAAATTCAACCCATTAGTCAGGATGTCCATGCACAAAACCCCCCAGAAAACCCGCGTGTTCATATTGACAGCAGCCTTTCTTACTTGGTGAGTATTTGTTCTTGAGTCAGTTGCTAGTGGTCCTGAGAATACAGAAACTGTAAGTGTTCTGCACTGTGCGGTTCTCATGCTCAGAGTGTGTGAGCACGTTGCGCTTTTCTGGCAGGAGCTGGAGTTTCAGGATCTGACGGCGGTCCTGCATTGCATCCACTCCTTCATGGCTGCGAAGGTGGCCTCGGTGGACCCCGCGTTCATGGACAGTCAGAGCATCGCCGGAAGATACATGTATAGCAGCTGAGCGGAGCTTCTGTTGAGTGCTGAAAATTAAATTATTTTCTTAAGAAATGACTATTTCCTGCACAATGTTGCCACTTTGTGTGATTTTATAATGATTCTATAGTTGTGATACCAATAAAACATGTCACTAGTTTCCAGAGACGAGTCAGCCTTGTTCACTCTGATGGGGGATGCAACCTCCGCTCAGGCAGAGCCATGGTTGAGAACATATTCCAACTCCCCATTGAAATACTCGCATCACCCACGTTCCTCAGACCGCCAGGAGGCACCAGCAGCCCACGCTGCACCCCACGCAGCTGAAACCCACACTTTATCTTCAGAAAGCATACGAGAGGAAATGCCAAGAGCGCACCACTTTCTTTTCCCCAAGAATGTAAAGTTTTCCTTTGAATTCCATTAATTTATCCCAGGACATCAAATGTAGTTCCCTGCGTTCTATGTCAACTACAGGTGGTCACACGAAGCACAAAGGCAGAGAAAGACAAGCATCGGATGAGATCGCTTATATGTGGAATCTTAAAAATGAATCAAATGAGCTCAGTTACAGAACAGAAAGCGACTCACAGTCACCAGAGGGGAAGGGCTGGCAGGGAGGGATGAATCGGGAGTTTGAGATTCACACGCACACTAATATGTGTGTGTGCTCAGTCATGTCCCAACTCTTTGCAACCCCATGGACTGTAGCCCGCCAGGCTCCTCTGTCCCCAGGATTCTCCAGGCTAGAACACTGGGGTGGGTTGTCCTTTCCGCCTCCAGGGGATCTTCCTGACCCAGTGATCATCCCAGTTTCTTGCACTGCAAGCAGATTCTTTACCACTGACCCCCCTGGGAGGTCCATATACACACTAAGATGCATATTTCAAAAAGAAAACAATACAAAGATGCAGTGGTCGCTCACAGCCAACTTGACTTCACTTGGAAAAACCTTTTTCTCTCTGTTGCCGAGTCCCTGCTGGACACAGGGCCGTGCACACAGATGCCCGTCTCAGAAGGCCTTTCCGCCACCGTGGCCTCCTTGGACAAGGGGACACCGGGCCGTTGGGCTGCCCTGCAGGCCCACCATGGGGCAGAGGGGACCCCAGCCCCACCGAAAGCCCAGGGAAGGCAATCAGAAAGAGAGGATTGGTGGAAACAGAATGGAAACTGCGTACAGCTCCTAACAGGCTAAGTCCTGGGATAAAACCAACCCAGCATATTTTAAAGGGAAGACTTAATTTCTTGTCCACTTGGGTTAATAAAATTCACTTTTATCATCGAAAATACATCACAAAATACATCGAAAATTGTGTTTATTTTATGTACAAGTCTTCTAACACACAAAGTATTGGGTATTTGTCATTAAGTTGAATTAAACGGAATGCACATTTTAACTCACTATTGTTGATTATGAAATAATCCATGTGCATTACAATGGGTTAAACAGTCAGAGGGAAGTAAGGACTGCATCTTACTCTACCCCTGACCCANTGCACATTTTAACTCACTATTGTTGATTATGAAATAATCCATGTGCATTACAATGGGTTAAACAGTCAGAGGGAAGTAAGGACTGCATCTTACTCTACCCCTGACCCAGTGATGTGAAGAACCGTGGCCTTGTTACTCCACCACGAGACAGAAAAGGGGCCGATGCTCACAGATGAGATGGTGATACTCGCTTGGAGAATAACGCTGACATAAACAAGTCTCACAGAGGCGGGAGCAGCCACGTTACACCGTGTGGTCAGGCCAGGCCCTGCGGTGAGGTGTCCCTGCGGCTGGAAGGACCACAGGGATGCAGGATGAGGATGCCTGGGAAGCCAGGTGAGGGAGCTCAGAAGGATGAGCCTGTGAGGGAGCTGTGTCCACGGACTGTGGGGGGGGGACACATAATGGGGACACCCACTATGGCTCAGGGTGAGCAGGGGCCGACTGGACGGGGCGGGGTCTGGGGAGAAGGCAGCCATCCTTGTGACAGTTTCATTCAGACCAGCACCAGTGGGGCCCCCAGCTGTTGGTAGGAGCGTGGGCATCTCTGAGCCTCAGTTTCCTTGTCTGAAAATAGAAAGGAAGGCGGGGCCTCGTCAGGACGTTTCGGGAGGAACACGCGGTCACACGTGTACAGTGTCACATTCTTCCTCCAGGCGCCTGGCCTGGGAAACATGCATCCACGTTTACTCAGCACATGGTTTCTATGAATTCTCTCAACCAGGAGATTATTAGGGCTTCCCAGGGAAGTTGCCCCATTTTTGCCACAAGGAAACACAAACCTGGAATACAGGGCTTCTCGCCACAGAGCCCTTTTAGCCTGGACTCCTGGATTCTAATTTCTGTCCTTTCTACAGCATTCAACCTTCATCCTTATTGTCAAGCTTCTACATTCAGAAAACTCATTTTGCAAAGCTATTAAAGATCGGTGGGTGGGGGGGAACTCCTGGGTTACAGAAAACACATACGCTTGTACCTAAAATCTAGAAATACTTGTGATTTGACTTCTCAGTGACTGAGAAGAATTGCGCAGTTACCATGTGCAATCTCCCCCAGAAGCCTGAGTGAGGATGTAAATTTACTTCACATTGCAGGGAAGCTAAGGATGCTTCATTGCAGGTTTGAGTTTATTCAGGCTTTTCATTGGCGAGAACCAAATATGCCCTCCACGTCACCTCTCTTCATGTCGCAGCAAGTCAGTCACTAATGACTAAGCCTAAGGGAGAACTTTTTAAAAATTCCTTTTATCTTTAACAGAATTTTAAACAGAGGCTGCTTTCTAATCTCATGTCCTTGTGGCAGAAGTTGTGAGCAATAGAAGTGATTCAAACGCCACCCTTACAGAGCCTTTCTGGGCCTGGACAGAGCATCCTCCTCTGCATCTGAAAGGTTGAGGGCACTGGTCCAGGTACCCTTGTGGGCACCTGGGCTCTGAGGTCACAGAGGATGTGTGATCCCGGGAGCTGGGCCCAGGTCCATCCAGCGTGACACCTCTGTGGACAATGCACTCTGCTCTCCCCGGAGAAGCCGACGTCACAGCTGACCCCCACCCCACTCCATCCTCCCAAGGTCCCCCCCAGCTGACCCCCAGGAGCACCCACCCCAGCCCGGCCTTGGAGGACATAGCTGACCCCCACCCCACTCCACTCTCCCCAGGCTCCCCCGCAGCTGGCCCCCAGGAGCACCCACCCCAGCCCGGCCTTGGACCTGCAGTGGAAGGACGCAGCTGCCACACCCACCTCTAACCTGGCCGCCAGGCTCCACTGGGGACCCATTTCTGCAGAGATGGGGCTCCGAGTATCCAACTTTCAGGGTGAATTCCAGATTCCTCGGGGGCGGGAGAGGGGCTGAGGGTTGGCCGGAAGACTAAACACCAGGAGGAAGAGGGCCCTGGAGCCCGCAACACAGAGTGGGCGTCAGGGCGAGCACTGCCCCCCAGCCCTGCACCCCCACCAGCCCCGCAACCTCGGGCCGAGTCCACACCTGGGGTCCCACAGGCAGAGTGGGCCCGAGGGCTTTCCCAGCCAGAGCCCAGGCACAGACCACCAGCCTCACCCCAGACGAACCACTGCTGTGCCCGGGCTGGCTCTGCTCACGTGACTTGGGGGTGGCGTCAGGGCGAGCCCCCACATGACCCAGGCAGGACCACGCCTGCAGGCGGCCACATCACCGTGGACGGGAGGGGCCCTCACGCGGCAGGGGGCGGAGCAGGTCCCTGGCACAGACCGCGTCCAAGGGTCGCGTGTGAACTGGGACTGGAGGGCCCGGGGCCGTGGGCACACACGTTTCTTCACCACGAGTCCATGTGAATCTCCTGAATGGCCCCCTTTCCTAGACTGTCCATCAGCAGTGACTGGGGCATGTCAGGAAAGTCATATAGGTTTTTGTTTATAACTCATCAAATATCAGCGCTGTTGATGCACAATATAAAACAGGTCATCAGAATGTTTAATAAAGCAGAAAAACCCGAGACCCTCTCAGTGTCCACTGACATCTCCAGCATTCCTTAAAGTGACTTAAATGCACGAAAGAAAGAATAAAGCTGCCCCTTCTTCCCTCTCTTTCCTGGAGGACGGTGACCTCTGGTCTGCCCCCCGCCCCCTCGGGGCAGGGCTGTCTGGCTGAGCTTCCGTCAAACCCTCAGAGCCCCGGGCAGGCGTGAAGACTTAAGGCCCGGGGCTCCGTCCCTGCCTGACACGCTTGCTCAGCCCAGTGCTCTTAGAGCTGCCGGTGAGGACGAGGACGCAGTGGGGGCACACGGAGCCGGAAACCCTTGAGGGCTCAGTGGCCCGGACACTTCCCCCGCCAGCGGGCACCGCACGGCTCCAGGCTCTGCAAAGGTCACGAGAGCTCAAGGACCCGCTGCACCTGGATGCGGCCGGCCGCGGTGAGGGCACAGCCACATCAGGGCCGGCCTCCGAGGCTGTGTCACGCTGACCCCCTCTGAGTGTCCACGCGGCATCCATTGAGGACTCGGGCCCCAGGTCTCCCCCCCGGGGTCGCCCTCGGGGCCCCAGGTCTCCCCCTCGGGTCGCCCTNCACCGCACGGCTCCAGGCTCTGCACGGGTCACGAGAGCTCAAGGACCCGCTGCACCTGGATGCGGCCGGCCGCGGTGAGGGCACAGCCACATCAGGGCCGGCCTCCGAGGCTGTGTCACGCTGACCCCCTCTGAGTGTCCACGCGGCATCCATTGAGGACTCGGGCCCCAGGTCTCCCCCCCGGGGTCGCCCTCGGGGCCCCAGGTCTCCCCCCGGGGTCGCCCTCGGGGTCTCAGGTGTCCTCCAGGGTCGCCCTCACCCCAGGCCCTGACAGCCGTCACCAGTGGGGTCCAGGAGAGGCTCCTGGCCCATGTTTCCCTGGCCCCTCGCGTGTCAGGCAGCGGCCCCTCTGTGCCCCAGCACCCCTCAGGCAGACCCCCCCGAAGTTCCGGCCAAGTGCAGCTCTGGCCCTTAGAGCCTGAGTCCAAGCTCTCCTTCAACAGTCTCCCCAGCATCAGAACGGGGTCCCCAAGACTTCAGGTGGCAAACTCAGCCAGCTGGGG